AGCCCAGAGAGCTCATGATCTGTGAAGCACGTCTCCTTCGAGAAGGAGGCATAACACGGGCACTCTGCCAGGGACCTCCAGGGAGCTTAGTCCCGTGGGACACGTATCTCCCATCCGCTATTATTGACAAAATTGTTCATGTCACACGGACGACACTGGAGTTGGTGTGGCACTCTCCATTTCTCATTCTGTGTACAGAATCTGTTGTTTCTCCACAGCTGTGTCCTCAGCTGACACCTTCCCCATTGTCCCCAACAGGACAGGAGTCCTCCACCTTGGCTGGAGAGAGGGCAGCAGGGCTGGAGCCACAGATTGGGTTCTTTAAATGGCAGTCACAGAGCTGGGGGAGCAGAGAAGCTTAGGGTCAAGTTCTTCTGGCCCTTTGCAGTCACCATTGAGAGAACTGTGGGTCACCAGATCCCTCTTTACAGCACCTGTCCCCATTCTGTCCCACAGGTTGTTTTTGCCTCCTGTACCAGGACTCCTGGTGAGCTGTAAAGAAAACCTGTCAGGATTCCCTGAGTGACACCAAGACCCAGCAGCTGCCATGGGCTCCCCAGGTAACCAGTCTTCTTCTCTGCTCTTGCTCATGGCCTAGGACTGCCAGAGTCTCCCTGCTGAGTGTCTGCTGAGGAGTCAAGACTACAGGAGGAGAACCCCAAGAAGGAGTACAGAGAGTTCCCTAGTCCTGGGTCAGAGAGGCCCTTTGTCCTGTCTTGTCTTGGGGTGCTTTCTCAGGAGTCACTTCCTAAATACCCAGCCAAAAACTGGAAGCCAGAAGTGGAGGGAGGGAGAAATGAAGGGAACAGAGCAGTAAGTGTCCAGATGGAAGGCAGCTTCAGCCCCCTCATGGAGGCTTGCTCTCAGCTGATGCTGGGGAGCTGTCCCCGAGGAGGCAGCCCACCCTGCTCCAGCTCAGGAACCACCTGTTCTAACTGTCTCAGCAGGAAGTTCCTGCACCCCAGTGAGACCTTGTCCACAGTCCATCTATGTTACCTGGAGACTCTCACCTCAAGTTACCTATACCACGAGGGCCTGTGTCCCCATGTGTATAGGCAGGCTCCAGCCTGCTGCATTCTCTGTCTGCACTCCATTAATTCCAGGCAACCCAATCCCCATCCAAAAGCTGTATTAGGGCACCTGCCCTTCACAGCGAGGACCAGAGCTTGCTCACAGGTGTGCCTACCTCAAGGAAGGCCTGGTTTTTTGTTGTTGTTTTTGTTGTTTTGTCATGTGAAAAAAAAAATCTGAAGTTGATACAGAAACCCGGGGCTTGAGGAACAGGAAATAGAATCCTCCACTCAGGAGTGACTCTGCCCAGGAACACCCTACACCAGCCCTGGATCCACACCAATCTCCAAGCCCCCTGTTCACTGGCTTCTCCCCACCTCTGCTGATTAGGCAGTCAGGTCATTTGCTCAGCACTTGGCCAACCCACACAGCACAGCAGTCGTGTTGACGAATGAGAGAGAAAAAACTGCAGAGACGTGTCCTCGGTCAGCGCGGCTCTCATTAAGGAAATAGGCAACAGATAGCCAGGGAGAGGGACACGTGTTCGTCATGGAAATGTAAGT